TGTTTCTGAATATTACTTTAGGGTTATGAACATATTTTTGGTTTTATTCAAAGTGCTTACATACTGATATTCAAAGTTACAAAATTACTTGGCTAATACCCTGTGAAAATGTTGTTTCTTTTAAAAGGGTGAAGTATTTGCTGTATTATTTATTTATTTTTAGTCTTGTACGGTAATGACACTACATTTGGCTTAAAGTTTAATCCACTGCTCCCACACTTGAGACAAGCACCAGGTGGGAGCTCTTAAAAAAAGAAAAAAAGCCGCAGTGTGAAGTAAACTCACTTACACATGCAAACAAAGACGTGACCTTCGAACTCTTCCCTTAGAGACCTTTGAACCTGAGCTGTTAGTCAGTTGGATTTGAAAATCCAGGTTATCTCTCACGCAGTATGGTTTCCCTCCACTGTCGCTGTTAGTTGCACGCTCTCACACAGTTTTACAATAAGACCTGAGCATGTGAGAGATTGTTTAGTAGAGAAATACTACAGCTTGCTGTGACTAAATTACTTTCAGTTTTCACTTCTAATAACGACATTGTGATTTTATCCAATACTAACACAAGGGGAGGAGGATTTACTGCCACAGATACTTAAATAACAAAGTGATGACAAAAACATTTTTAGAGATTTTATAGAGATGAGCCTCCTTACATATTCTAAATATGTGTCGGTGTTTTTTCACAACATATATTAGGAATATTGCACATATGCAAACAAAGGGTTTGTTTGGGTTTTGTAGCAAGATGGTAATAAAGGAGGGAAAAAGTAGATATAGTCCAGGTGAGGTGTTGATGCCTATCAATGACCCTGTCCAGCTCTCATATAACGACAGTTATTCTTGAGTCTTTGTTGGACACAAACTTTCTCATGCCACCCTGGAGGAGCCAGACTACCCGTGCAACCTGAATGCTATCAGTAATGACAAGGACACTACCAAAAATCAAAACTAGAAACAACTAAAGTCTGACATAGCTCATCTGCTATTTGTGTGAGAATTGAAGGGGCTTAATAAATTGAAAACGTAACAGCTATCTATGGTATTGGCCTGCATTACACTCACTCTGTGTACGTGAGCATTCCCTGATGCTTGACACAGTGAAGAAAGGGAACTACACAGATGCACAAACTTCTGTAGTGCCACATAAGGTCTAACATGCAGTAATTACATGGCATTAGTTAATTTGTGTACATAGAGCATATGTCGACCCAGCATATATAAACACGCTGACAGAACTAGTGGAACATCAAAGACTCCCCTAAACCTCAGCCGATTCCTCTCTGCCATCACTCGACTGGAAATGTGGGACTGCGTGCGTTTGACAGGCGGAGCGCAGCAGCTCTTATCCGGGCTGTTGTTTGTTGGTATACTGCTGCATTAGCATTTCTACTCAAGCCATGTGCTGTCTGTGAAACATGGAAGAAAACAGAAAAAGCTGTTTGGGATTATTGGAGTGAAAGCTGCAGAAGCATAAACGGAGCCATTTGTTCCTGTTCTGCTCTTTTATTTGATATGTTTGAATTTTTTTTTTGCCTAAATTTTATTTTTTTTATTCTAATATTTCCTGTAATCTGGTTTGATCCAAGACAATTGTCAACTGTGGAGGACAATAAAGTAACAGTGGTCCTGTGTCTAAGTATTGTCTCCTTTGCCTGCCCTTCTTTCCTTTTCTGTCCAAAAATAATATCAAAGATAATTTTTCCTCCATAAAATCACTAGATCATTATTTGAAACATTCCTCAGCCTCAAAGTCAGGGTCGCCAGGTTGTAGTAGCTGAAAAGATAAAAATAATTGCACATTTTATTATTTTAGCAAAGTAAGTGCTTGAAATAGGTCACAAAATTAAGTTTAGAGTTGATCTTAAAGAAGACTTGCCTACACACCGGATTAACGCTGCACTTGTGTCAGGTCTATGAAGCTGGGAACTGATATTCACACAGCCACTGTGTGCCTTTTTGTGACAGGATGGCATTGGAGAAAAAAAAATGGAAGAACATGCTGAACTGTTTTCACTTTAGTCCAGTTTTAGCTTTCCTGCAGAACAAGTGTGTTGGCATGGAGGTATATGAGTATTGACTATATACAGATTATCACCCAGCACTCACACTGGAGATGGAGCTTTTAGCCTTACTAGTTGTTTTACTGTGGACACTGTTGGTTTTTAAACTATTAAAGTAAAGGGATTGTGAAAGCTGAGTGTGATTTACAAATTATTTAAATGTGTAGTTGTGTGCAGTTTGTAGATCAAAGCATTGATGGTTGGGGGGAGTAAGGTGCATAAACTTAATTGTAAACTGTTTGCAGCTGTGCCATTGTGCGAGTGCTGCTAGCCCAAATTCGCAGCCATGGCGCTACCGGATCGGGCTTGCGAGCAGTCCTTATTGCAAGTATTCAGGATGTTGGAGCAAAGGACAACATGAGGGCGCCTGCTCACTTGTCGCCCTGTATTTAAAATGTTCGACAGCTTGATTTCAAGAGTTTAATCAATGACTTTTTAAATCACTTGACATAAAGAAGTGCTTCTGACTTAGTAAGATGTTTTTTGTGTTATACACTGCAGGTATATGAACAAACAAAAAAAAATATAACTATAAGACTAAATATGAATTTATTGTAATTCATGGTTTAGTTATTGTGCGACCAAACATTGTATTTCAGAGGGACACATGAACTGTGTGCTCTGTGCAATAATATGTTCTGATACTATATCCATGGTGCAAATTGAGCTGATGTTAGATGCTGCTGCTTTAGTCTCTTGTGATTGGTTAGAGTTAATTAAATCCCCTCCCCCTTGGAAACTTGTGGAAATGAGTGGACGCAATGTCAGTACTGGTCCACAACTTTAAGATTATGACTTTCAGGAGTTTAGGGCTGGATTATTTAGGGGTGTAGATGGCTGAGATGAGACTTTGCAGGAATGCACCATCATCTGGAGGTGCACTGAACTTGAACTACACGTGGCTGCCCTTAACAGTTCCCAGTGGCCCCAGAAGGTGTCTGCCGTTGTACTGACCAGTGTGTTAATTATCCACCGCTCGCTCTAAGCTGGGCCTTGTTTGAACCTCAGTGTCTCCACGGTAACTGTAACCAACAGTTACGCAAGCTTGACAACGGCAGCCCTCGATGACCCACATTCCAGCAGTAAATCACAACGCGTGCACATTCCCGACTCCACCCTTGCCTATCGAAACTGTTCTCAGTGTTTCCACTCGACGGGGAAGGGGAGGCGGCGAGTTAGAACGAGGCGGGGAATGTTTTCACTTCTGTCGGCCTTTTTTTTTTTTTTTTTTTTTTTTTTTCCTGTTTTTTCTATATGGAACAAAGTCCACAAACTGTGCAGAATTAGTGTAGTTGGATCTTTTGTTGGAAGTCTTTCTGCACACACTCCTCAGCCTCAGATTATATGGTTGAATTTGTTTGTTTGCATCCCCTATTAGAAGCTGGCATGCGAGTTATTTTGTTGGCATGCTGACAGAAAAGATATCTGCGGTCTAGGAGATCCACAGTGAAGACACAACATCTTTCCTGCCATAATAAAATGTAACAATTTCTTATGAAGTAAACCTTAAAGACGCTCTGTCAGTGCTTACTCTGTACACTGAGAATATATATAACTGTCACTTCCTGACCAATGGGTTCTCTGAAAATGACATCACTATTCATGAAACGTTACTTGGACCATGGTGCTCGAGTAGTATCTGCATTTTGTTCCACAGGTTCATCCACTTGTCCTGGCATTCACCTTAAAGTGGCAACATTTAATGCTGCACTTAAGAAGGCGTGCATCCCCCCCCATGATGCCAGAAACCAATCAGCGTCTGTGAGAAACTATATATGGCTTTATGTGTTCATAGCTGCCTTCATCTTACTTGAATATCTTTCCACAAGTTTCTCTTGCTTTCAATTTGTTTTTGTCCCCTAGAGTGAAATACAATCACCTACTTTTTCAGAGTAATAGCAGCTACTAGCTATGCAATGTTGGCAAGCTCCTGAATACCTTAGATCTTTCTCTGGTGGCGGTTATGATGAAATATGAGGCAGATTTACTGCTGAGCCATAACATATGCATGTGTGTGCACAGGCTGCGAGCTACAGTTGCTGCGTCAGCGCAGCGTTGCATACATACATCAGGTTTTACACATTCTTGTTCTGTAGTACACTCTGTAGCAGATGAAGGAAATGTCTACATGTAGGCAGTGGATTTGTACACATGTAGAGAAAATAGCCCTGGGTAGCTGTGCGACACAGGCTGTGTGTGTTCTGCAGAGGTTTCCTTAGACCTGCACAGTGTGCTGAGATAAAGTAGATAAGTAAGTTGGAACACATTAAATCAGTGTGCAGATCAGGAAGGTTCCTGGAAATAACATTTGATACCAATTATATACAAATGACTTTAAGTACATATTTAAGATTTAATTCAAAGTAAACTGGAACTAATCTGTGTTGAACTGCTTGAAAGGGACCTATTACGCTCACTTATGGCCTCAAATATACTTCACACGTATACTTGAAAGTTTATCCGAAATGACACGCCTCATGGTTGTGATGTCTTCAGTATTTAATGTGATATTTGGACGGCAAACATTCATCTTGTCTATTTAATAACCGATGTCACTGACGTAAGTTGTTGTGCTCAAAACTTGATGCATGTGGGCTGACAGTCCATATCGGTGAATAACTGATCAGCCTTCTTTTCCTGTCGTCGCACAACCTGCTGACACACTCGGCTCTCTGGATCTCAGCCAGCCTTGCTTTTTTGCTCTCCCGCCACAGTCGAGGCTGCTGAACAGCCACCTTATGAGCGCCATCCTGCATTAATAATACGTCTGAGCTACTGTTTATGCCCTATTTTCTTTCAGTCTTCAATGTTAATATCCAAGCATTTGTTTATGCTCTGCATGTAAACGCAATTGTGTTGAATGTAAATGTTTGGTGTATTTTTGTAATTTGCGGCCTGTATAAACAGAATTAGTGACTCTTCCTGTGTTTTTTCTAAAAGGACCTGGAGTTCCATGGCGTGATGAGGTTCTACTTCCAGGACCGGGTCGCCGGTAACTTTGCTACCAAGTGCATCAGAGTCTCCAGCACAGCGACAACGCAGGATGTCATTGAAACGTTAGCAGAGAAGTTCAGACCAGACATGAGGATGCTGTCCTCACCAAAATACTCCTTGTACGAGGTCCATGTCAGTGGCGGTGAGTCCCACAGATTTCTGATGCAAGGAAAAGCGCGACAGACTTTACAGAGTCAAATTAATTGTAAAAATGGAGAGTAGGAAATGGATGGCTCTCAGGTAAACTGGTCTTTCTGTGTCTGTGTTAGAAGAGCGTCAGCTGGACCTGGACGAGAAGCCTCTTGTTGTGCAGCTGAACTGGAACAAAGACGACAGAGAAGGACGCTTTGTCCTGAAGAATGAGAACGACATCCTGCCCAAGGTCAGCTGCTCTGACTGTTCGGTCCAAGTGTTCACTGTTAATCATTAGGCTTACTAGCGAGATGAATTATTCTTCCATTCATCCGTAGCCTGTCAAGGAAAAACGAATCATTTTAAATCACTTTGTTCAGCTCTTCAAGATCACAAAGATACAAATGTGCATTGGAAAGGCACCAGCTGCCACTAGAATATAATCAGACTGTATATAAAAGATGGATGCTGCTTGGTTAATGAAGGGCTTTCAAGGAAGCCATCTAGGTATTTTGAGACCAGATGTGACAAGTGAGTGTCTGATTTGGCTTTAAAAACTGAAACGTGTGCTCACTGGCTAAGGACTTGTACTCAGCTTCATTTTCCAATAGGGAAGCTACTTCTATATGTGATACTGCCTTTAAATGGAACATAGTGTTTCCTACACATAGACTTTACTGCAGTGAGCTGCTCGGGTATATTTAGCAACCCTCCTTAATCTTTTTCAAGTTTTAAATTTTTTGAATTTTCTTGGTATTTTTCATTTGCTCTCATGTTTTGTACCAGCTGGCTTCCTGCCAGGTTCCACTTATGGTCCTTAATATCTTTCAGCTGTTCCTTCAGGTTGTCTCTTCAAACTGTGATCTTTTCTATAGTTTTTATATCTTTATCCCACTAACCCTAACCAATTTTAATGATAATAAATGATGTATTTTTAATTTGTAATGTAATAAAAAATTAGAAAACGATGAAGCGTAAAAATCTGTGAAGTGTACAACTCAGCCTGTGGGGAGCACTGCAGCGTGCCTATTTGACCTTGTAAGAGGTGCTCAGGTTTTAGTGGGTTTTAAAAGTCCCTTTGGGCCCTCAGTCAAATTTGGACATTTTGGCATTCTCGAATGTCACAAAGATGCTGAAGATTTTCTTCTTTTCCTTGATCACTTTGCTCATGTGCCACTTATTCACCCACAAAGGAGTGCATCTATAGCAGTTTTATCACTCAGCCTCACTCTCTTGTTTTTCTAGAAGAGTCAGAGTAACGGGCCTGAGAAGGAGAAGGACGGCGTGATACAGAACTTCAAGAGGACTCTGTCCAAGAAGGAGAAGAAAAAGGAAAAGAAGAGGGAGAAGGAATTCGCCCGAATCCCTGATGGAGACGATCAGACACTGAGTCGCGAGGACGGGTAACGCACTCATTCATCTTACATCCTGACAGTCCTCAGATTCTTTTTCTTAATGCAAGGAAAAGCACAGAAAATGACAGAGTAGTGATTTAAACTTTTGACCTTTCAGTTCCTTCATCTGACTCCTTTTTTTTTTTTTTTTTTTTCTTCCCTACGTTTCTTTTTCTGTCCCATTTATTCTTTGGTTTAGAGAAAATCTGGCAGCAGAGGTTTATAAAGACATGCCGGAGACCAGCTTTACCAGGACGATCTCCAACCCAGAGGTGGTGATGAAGAGAAGACGCCAGCAGAAACTGGAGAAACGCATGCAGGAGTTCATGAGCAGCGATGGGAGGCCAGACTCAGGTACTTCTTAGAATTTGCAAATATCTTGTTTACGAGTTTATTCAGACCCTTTTCTCCTAATCCCAACATGAGCTCGGATTACCAACTGTGCCTAGTCTCCTAGGTGTATTAGTTCAGGGGTGGGTAGAGGAAAAAAACAATAGATATATAACAAACACATTCCTTCCCAATTAGATAGCCTGCACCTCATTTATGTTAAAATTAAAAAGCATATAGTGCCATTAGATCCAAAATGTAGACTAATTGAACACTGCTAAAGTGTTTTGTTTCACTTTTTTAATGATGAGACAAGAGACGGAGCTCAGAGGACAGTACAGTATGTTTAATGATCCCATGTGTATTTAAAGTTTTTGCTCACTGGAAATAAACTGAAGTCAGAACACATTGGCTCACGTGGGCAGTTTGCAGGTGGTATTACTTTAAAATAATGAGACCGTCAACATCAAAGGCTAATCTGATATATTGTTACAGTCATGTGGAAAAGAGCACAGGACTCTAGAGTCCACAGTCACAGCTTCCATAGGACTTAAGAGGGCAAGTAGCAGCCAAGTGCTGCTAATCAAATCGACAAATTCACTGATGATCAACAAGTATGAGCACCTCTGGTTTGGACTGTTCAGGTGTGTGTTGCCACCAAATTCAATCCAGTGTCAGAGTAACTGCAACACCCCCAGAATCTTAAATGTTAAAATTCATGATGGTATTTGTTGGAGTAAACAGTAAATTGACCTAAATATGAAAATCAGCTGTGAATACTGACTTTTTATGTCACAAACCGAAATGGCACAGCCAGAGAGGGACCCGGATTGGCTCCAAAACAAGTCTGAATGTCCTTGTATGGCTTAAAGGAAACCTGACGTGAACTCTGGAGATAATCTGCAGCGTGACCTGAACGTCGCAGTTCACTGCCGCTCCTTATCTGGTGTGGAAGGGCATGAGGAAGCAAGTTAAATTCTGTGAAAGCAGGTGTGCACATCTATTGGAGTGGTGTTTATATAACATGCGGATTAGCGGCCCACTTTTTGTTGTTAGTAAATTGTTTTCACTGCTCATCGCTAATTACTCACGCCCACATCAGCTGCTTCCCAGAAGTGCCATATGCCGTTGGAGCGTCTCACGCTGACATGTTTACGCACACAGACATACGTCGCGGACGTGCCGAATGAATGAAACAAACATGCTGACTGGTTCAGCGTGTGACTCAGGCATTACCTAATCACTCTGCCAGACAGACAGATGGACGAGTGAACCGGCTCTAAAAACGGCTCAAACCACTGTCCACATGCACATGCAACCGGTGAGGCAGGACGGCCGGTGGTTAGACGGTGACGTTCTCCCGGCAGAAAGCACTATTTAAAAAAACAAACAAAACACCCTTACTTTATGTAATGAAAATCCTGTTTGCTCTGCTGAAGCCTTCTTTTGTGGCATTTACAAAGGTGATCATTTTCAGTTGACACGTCCCCGTTACATGGCTACATGTTCCACCAGATGAAAGTTGTTATAAGCATTACGTTATTGCTTTTCCCCAAACTCATCTAAAAGTGTACGCAAGAAAGTTTAACGTCCAGGTCAAGCAAGAAATGATAGACCGAGAACCGATGGTGACAGAAGTTTGTAAAGTGGGAGTCTGCTAGCACCATTACATTGGCTATATTAAATGCAGTCAAAAATGAAACTAAAGGTGAAAAATACACCCAAGTTCACTGAAGTAAAACTAGAACTAGGTGTGAAACAGTATTTAGTGCTTTTGCATTCAGAACTAACACACTCCGTCTCTGCAGGAGGCACTTTGAGGATATACGCTGACAGTCTGAAGCCCAATATCCCGTATAAAACCATCCTCCTCTCCACGAGAGACACAGCTGACTTTGCTGTGGTGGAGGCTCTGGAGAAGTATGGACTAGAGAAGGAGAACCCCAAAGAGTACTGCATTGCTCGGGTAAGTTTTCTTAAAAATCTGTAAACCCATCTTGTCACCTTCTCACGCTCCCAGTAAACACATCCATCAACACCATAAAATCTGCTTTGTTCTCGCTAAAATTAAAATGGAGTTAAATTAGGTTTAGTTCCTCCAGCTGCAGCAAATTCCATCAAACCCACGTTAACAGTAACAGAGTTTGAGCTTTGTCACAGTTTAATATGTGATTTTATTTTTGAGGACACTGCGTGATGTTCACAGCTCATATTTGATCTTCATGGTTAGAGGTGTAATGTTTCCAAAATCATGTTTCCGTTTTGCCAGACTAGCATACTTTACCAACTCCACATGGGACTCAACGTGAGATGGGACATTTGTATCGCCATTTCTGTTGTCGTCTGAGAATTGTTACACTGTTAATCCTGCTTCTCTGCACTATACAACCTTGACGCTCCGAGTCCAGTAATAAACACCTTTATCATCCTCCTGAGAGGCTGTGGAAAGTTAAGTTCACTGTCAGTGCCACAAGGGTCACCACTGCTGTCAGTAAACATTGTAACAGCTTCCAATATGAGGAGCGTGCTATATATCCCACCTTTAAGGCACATTTTAAACACATTTTCTCTTTTTTTGGTTCCTGTTTAAATGAAGATGACTAATAAAAGTTGGAAAAGAAAAATCCATGCCCACTTCACAGGAATGGCAGATTGAAAAGGAAAGCTTAAGGAATGCAGCTCAGTTACTTTCAGACTGAGTGCCACAGTAGCAGCAGATGCTCTATTATATCTGTGTGTGTGTGTGTGTGTGTGTGTGTGTGTGTGTGTTAGACTGTGACGGTGAACTTGGCTCACAGCCTGTATCCTATCTGTCCTCTCAGCTTTTGCCAGTCGTATAAAACAACTGCCAATACACTGGAAGATCCTCCAGACACACACACACACACACACACACACGGTTACTTTTAAAGGTACCTTTTCACTTTACAGTGTGTTGATGAAGTTAATTTGATGAAGTTAAGTTAATGAAGTGATCTGTTACATTACAGGGCTATCTACTTAGAAAAGTAACTCATCAGCGTGCTTTGCTTTACCAAAACTGCACAGCCCTCATATGGTTACATTGTACAGAAGCTGTGTGATCTCATAGAGAGTTGACATTGATAGCACATCGTAACCAGTAACAAGCTCACTAGTTTCCCGTTTCAGCTGAGCTAACTTGTTAGCTGTTGTGTGTTTGGAGCTTTTCCTTTGACTAGTGTTACTGCTGCGAGGTCTGGCCTGTTGAAAAGGTGTGTCCAGCACAGTTCAGCTAAACTCCCTGCACAGATCTCCAGTACTTCCTCAGTGACAGCTTGTTGTGTAAAAATTGCCTTAAGTAATTAACACATTTTTGACAGGACAGTGTGCAAAATGGAGTGATGTGTTTAGAGGCTGAGGCAGACTGACTCATCCTTGGGTCTGCATCGTTAAGTGTTGTTCGAGCACAGGCCAGTGTGGGAGTTTGGGACAGTCACTGACTGTGCCTAGTGTGAGTTCACCCTAAAGTGCAGGGTTCAGGAGGCCAGCAACAATGAGAAATGCCAGAAACTGGTAAACACTATCCACCCACTCGTCCTTTTTTTTCCTTATCTGCATCATGGGAGCATTAATCTAAACACAGCTATCAAAAACTAACAACCACCACTGCCTCCAGCTCTTCTGGAGAGTTGAAAACTAGCTGTTGCGTCGTGTCTGTGTAGGTTCTCAGTCGTACAGGTCATGATAGTCTAAGGCGCTGAAAAAGAAGGCGACTGGATTAAGTTTTTTTTTGTTTTGTTTTTAATCTTTCATCCTGTGAAACAATCAAGAAACCTCTTGGATTAGAGGTGAAACATCTTCAAAAAACTTGAAGTCCAGTCACCTTCTTTTCAAGCTCTGTTTTGCATCCTGTGACTTCTCTGGAGACGTTGTCTTGTCAGATGTAGTTAAATGACCTCATCTTTGAGGCTTAAAGGAGCCTGAACCACATTACATTGTCATTCTGTGTGTAAGGCGGGACTGAGATTACACAATATTGTTGTTTGTTGTAATGGTTAATGTGTCAGGTTAGAAGATTATAGAGTTGGAGACATGATGAGCTCCTCGTTGCTCCCCTATTGGCTTTTTAAATTTAAGTGATATCATCAGGATGGAAATGCTGGCTAGGGATTTCCAGTAAAAAAAAAACCACAGTGGTGACGTTTATGATCCTGGTGATCTTCTTATTCATTGATTTTCACATTTCCTCCATCAGCTCATATTAGTCAAGGTCACTGAAGTTGAGGAAAACTCTTTTTCCCCCTTTAACCTTTGTGCAATTATCAACCTACAAGGCTTTTGTAGGTTTAAATTGGACTTTTTGGAGGCGAGGACATGTGTAACCTGTAACCACCACCACCACAGTTAGTCTGTCTTTTCTGTCTTTTTCACAAAGTTATTGAGTAAATTCGTTTGGGTTTTGTTGGTCAGGAATTTTATGCTCGACGAGTAGAAGGATGAACTGTTGGAACACATTTGTTCCATGTTGCAATCAGCTGATATTGTGTAGTCTGAATCCAGACAGCATTCGGTGGAAACAAAGTTTTACAGCCTGTATTTATGATCTTTTTCTTCTGGTACAACCCGTAGCCACAGGTTATGGTAAGAGCATAGCCCTGCCAGTTAATTAAACCCTATGCCCCTTACCTCACCAGAACTTAGCAGTACTGCAGATGCTGTAGAAGCCCACTTGTCGCTCTCCCACTTTCCATTGTTCCCCCACTTGTGAACATCATCCTAAGGTACTTGAGATGCTCCACTTGAGACAGTAGCGCTTCCTCAAAACAACCCATCTCTTACTGAATACCAGGGCCTCAGACTTGAGGGTCTAATTCATCCGCTAATGCATCTGCTCTCCACTGAGCTGCAAACTGAACCAGTACAAGCTGCAGGTCAGCACGCATTTTTAGACGGTGTGATGTGGAAAAACAGGATTAGTGGCTGACGTCTTTTCTTTATATTGTGTCTTGGAAAACTAGTTAATGGGGATTATGGACCATGTGGACATGGGAAAACAACCAATTTCTAAACTGCAACATCTGGAGATGTTATAACATGTTGTTTAATAAGTCCAATAATAAGCACAGCTGCATGACATGTGAATAAACTTTGAATTGATTTGGTGTTCGTCTCCTTTTATTTGCAGCAAGATGATAAGTCTGGCAAGGAGGTGATTCTGGACGATAATGAGTGTCCACTGCAGATCTTCAGGGACTGGCCTGCTGATAGAGGTAAAAGACACACTCAGGCACTTGTCCCCTCGCTTCTTGGTCACTATTGCCCCCTGCTGCTGGTTTACTGAAATTACAGATTTTTTTTTTTTTTTTAAATGTTATTTTTAAATGTAATTTTTCTTTGACCATTGATCTTCTTACTGTATATTAACCTGTGGAATCTCTACTGAGTACAGGTAGTAAAATTTAGTCTTCCTCATTTTCAGGGGCATTAGTGTTCCAGTTGAAGAAGAGACCTCCGGACTACCAGGGGAGGAAGGGAAGGAAAGTGGATGACAAGGGCCTCAGAGGGAAGGACAGCTCGCTGCCTCCTGAGAAACTGCCTTATCTAGTGGAGTTGAGCCCAGGTAGGACCACAACACTATCATATGTGACCCTTCATCTTTGCTGTCAGTGTCGGTAGGCATTACAAGTGACAGCACCAGCGGAAGCAGCTTTTTTTTATTTTTTATTTTTATTTGTTGTTGTAATGGCAAACAGTGACCAACAGGTTGCAGTGTAGCTGCATTAAAAAACACTCAGGTTTGGTCAAAGGTGAGTCTGTCTTCGTGTTCCCTGCTGAGGTGAATGAAGCACATTATAATGCGGCTACATTATTGCTCACACATCTTCTCACCACTTTCAGCTGTGTTGTGGTTTCTGTTCCTGCCACTGCAGCATTTTGTCAGTGTGTAAAAACCACTGCGGGCGGTTAACGATCACTGAAAGCTGCAGACAGCTCTTAAAAATAGCTGGAGATGTTGGCGCGTGCTACAGCTGCTTGACTTTCTTTTATCCCCCCATCAGAAAGAGCTGTAGCTTTTAATATGAATTAAAGTTTCCAAAACACACGAGTGCACTGTGAGAAGTCACAGAATAAAAAAGACTTGGACATTAGATCTTCTCCTTTATGCTTGTTGCACTGAGGTTATACCCTTATGCCTGAAGGGTTTCTAACATAAGATAATTCTTTATTGGGGGATTATAGGGGAAACATCTGGCAGTTCTTGAGGTTAAAGTGTAAAGTTATCAGTCAGAGATTGGTAAGAGTTATATGTAGGTGTTGTTAGAACAAAAATGTGTCTGTCCTCAGTCACAGCAGCTGAGATCACTCTTTTAGACCACTCATGTATAATGAATCTCTTCATCATTATTATTATTATTATTATTATTATTATTATTCAAAGGGGGAACACCTGTCCTAATCTTAACAGCCACATCAAAGTCTTTATCATATTTATTTATGATGAAGATGATTTAAAGAGCAAAAAGGTTAAACTTACTATGAAAAAGCTTCATTTGGTGAATTGTAGGAAGTTGCTTACTGATGTAAGAGTATACGGGATAGGGACCTCTTGTACTGTAAGAGGTAAGTTACAGTGGTGTTATAACAGCTGGAATGCAGTACATAAACCCCAGATTATTTGTTCTGAGAGCCTTTCGAAGGGCATTTTTGGAGAAACATACCCATGTCGTGTTAAGTATGACACAACCCTAACAGCTTGTTTCCTGCTACTGATCCCTCTCTTTCTTTATTGGTCTTTTTGTCATTCTTCCTATCATGCCATTAACCTATCAGACCCGTTGGTGAACCCAATTCTTATTGGCACTTGAACTGGTTTGAACTGTGGTGCTGGAATGATATTGGCTCACCAGTGGGCCTTATCCAGGAATGTACTAACACGTCTACTTCATCTACTGTAAGGTTGACGGGTCACTGACTGTGGAAGATTGCCAGGATGGGAAATTGATTTGGTGGCTTGTCTAAATAACAGCTGCTTGGCAAAGTGTGTGTGTGTCTGTGTGAGGAGAGAGAGAGAGAGAGAGAGTGTGTGTGTGTGTTAATTAACTGGACTTTAATCCACTTCTATTAAAGAAAACACTGAGGCTACCCTGTAGAAGGCTTAAGATAAAAATAAATTTGTTGTAATTTTTTACTTTTAAATGACTTTCCAGTATTTAAGTGATGTCCGGGCTACTGAGGGAAGTCCTCTAACCACAAGCATACCTCTCAGTGTGTTTTCTTCATAGATTGTATTAAAAATATGGGCATAAGGGATGTCTCAGCCTCAAGCTGACAATTGTGTTACCATCTAAGCTTTATGAAGCCAGATATGACGAGCACAGGGCAAAGCTGACTGTGGGGCGTAGGCGAGCCCCTATAAAGCATCACAATAGGCGACTGTTTGGGTGCTCTCCCCATTTTACAGCCTTTACGGCACCACCTGATTGAATGAACACCACTCTATCTGCTCTTGGATTTTAAACTAAAACCAAAATTTGACACTTTAAAAAAGCAGACCATTAACCTCAAGTTTGATCCTAAAAACACGTGAGGTGAGAAATAAATCACAAAGTCGCCAAAAATAACACGTTTAAACAGATAAAGATGCTTTAACCTCAAAGTCAGGGCAGGCAACATAATGTCACCAAAATGCATACTTGTTTGGATCAGTGGTTAAACTGTTGGGAAGATCTTTTTTGTTATGACCTGTTTTAAGATACATACTCTGTAAACTAGAATTTACAATTTACTTGCAGTGTGCGTTGTCATCTACAGGACTGCTTTGTTTAATTCATTTAAAATTTGGACACTAGGACAAATGTAGACAGTGAGAGCCCTTTTAAAATATCGTGTGTGTGTGTGTGTGTGTGTGTGTGTTTGCCTGCTTTCCATGCAATTAACGGGTTAACAAGGTATTTTTTTTTCCCTTCCTTGCTGCATTTTCACCCTCTGCTATTTGTCTGTTTTCTTTCCCACCTTCTTTATGGCATGGTGCGTGTGCGTGTGCGTGCGCGTGTGTGTGTGTGTGTGCGGCGTGTGGGGCCTGTGCATGTCTCCTCCTACCTCCATGCCTGCCTGCCTAGGGCGAGGGAATCACTATGCCTACTACGCCTATCGGCACCACGAAGGTAAAACTCTACCGCACCTGTGTGTCTGTTGGTGGGGTCAACTCATTTGGCCAATAGTGGTCAAACAGCCCTGATACATGTTTTAGATGTGATTTAGGCACTAGTGCTGAACAGAGAGGTTAGGAAAAAGTGATTTAAACAATTTATTTACATTTTACATGAGAGTTATTTAATACTTTCTGTATCGGCATTAAAAACAGTCAATAACAGCTTAAATACATTTTAGGATATAAAGTTTTAATAAGAAATAGGATTTAACATTATATCCAGCCAATCACAGGGAAAACTGACCTTTTTGGAAGCATTTTTGCAGATTGACATTCATTTTATTTGAAGGGTACAAGAAACTACTAAATCAATTTATTTCACCAGTTGCTAAAAGCTCACAAATGAACTGATAATAATCGAAGTGACGTTTCTAGTGAGTTACCTCATAACTGACTGAAAGACTGAAGAACTCAAAACATGGGAATTATACTTCTGTGTTAAATCTACCTGTAAAATAGTCGTAACTGCAAATCTTTCTGAAATCCTGCACCATAATCTTCGATGTTACCTGAAGTCCACCTGCATAGAAATGTAACCACATGTCACTGCCAGTGCAGCCTGCACAGGTAAAACAGAATGCTAGAGGCTGCAACCATCACTGGCATCTACAGGGAGTGCAGAATTATTAGGCAAATGAGTATTTTGTCCACATCATCCTCTTCATGCATGTTGTCTTACTCCAAGCTGTATAGGCTCGAAAGCCTACTACCAATTAAGCATATTAGGTGATGTGCATCTCTGTAATGAGAAGGGGTGTGGTCTAATGACATCAACACCCTATATCAGGTGTGCATAATTATTAGGCAACGTCCTTTCCTTTGGCAAAATGGGTCAAAAGAAGGACTTGACAGGCTCAGAAAAGTCAAAAATAGTGAGATATCTTGCAGAGGGATGCAGCAGTCTCAAAATTGCAAAGCTTCTGAAGCGTGATCATCGAACAATCAAGCGTTTCATTCAAAATAGTCAACAGGGTCGCAAGAAGCGTGTGGAAAAACCAAGGCGCAAAATAACTGCCCATGAACTGAGAAAAGTCAAGCGTGCAGCTGCCAAGATGCCACTTGCCACCAGTTTGGCCATATTTCAGAGCTGCAACATCACTGGAGTGCCCAAAAGCACAAGGTGTGCAATACTCAGAGACATGGCCAAGGTAAGAAAGGCTGAAAGACGACCACCACTGAACAAGACACACAAGCTGAAACGTCAAGACTGGGCCAAGAAATATCTCAAGACTGGTTTTTCTAAGGTTTTATGGACTGATGAAATGAGAGTGAGTCTTGATGGGCCAGATGGATGGGCCCGTGGCTGGATTGGTAAAGGGCAGAGAGCTCCAGTCCGACTCAGACGCCAGCAAGGTGGAGGTGGAGTACTGGTTTGGGCTGGTATCATCAAAGATGAGCTTGTGGGGCCTTTTCGGGTTGAGGATGGAGTCAAGCTCAACTCCCAGTCCTACTGCCAGTTTCTGGAAGACACCTTCTTCAAGCAGTGGTACAGGAAGAAGTCTGCATCCTTCAAGAAAAACATGATTTTCATGCAGGACAATGCTCCATCACACGCGTCCAAGTACTCCACAGCGTGGCTGGCAAGAAAGGGTATAAAAGAAGAAAAACTAATGACATGGCCTCCTTGTTCACCTGATCTGAACCCCATTGAGAACCTGTGGTCCATCATCAAATGTGAGATTTACAAGGAGGGAAAACAGTACACCTCTCTGAACAGTGTCTGGGAGGCTGTGGTTGCTGCTGCACGCAATGTTGATGGTGAACAGATCAAAACACTGACAGAATCCATGGATGGCAGGCTTTTGAGTGTCCTTGCAAAGAAAGGTGGCTATATTGGTCGCTGATTTGTTTTTGTTTTGTTTTTGAATGTCAGAAATGTATATTTGTGAATGTGGAGATGTTATATTGGTTTCACTGGTAAAAATAAATAATTGAAATGGGTATATATTTGTTTTTTGTTAAGTTGCCTAATAATTATGCACAGTAATAGTCACCTGCACACACAGATATCCCCCTAAAATAGCTAAAACTAAAAACAAACTAAAAACTACTTCCAAAAACATTCAGCTTTGATATTAATGAGTTTTTTGGGTTCATTGAGAACATGGTTGTTGTTCAATAATAAAATTATTCCTCAAAAATACAACTTGCCTAATAATTCTGCACTCCCTGTATATTTCACAGCAGAAGTCTAAATCGAGCATAATGCCACACTGTGAAAAATGGTGTCTGTAGACTGCAGTTGCAACCGTGTGACCTCATGATCTTGCAGCACTCAAAGATGACCATCAGCTGTGTCTTCAAAGTAGCTTTGATAAAATGGCAAAAAGATGGAGTCGGTCTGCTGTCACTTTTACTGCAAATTCAATGGTCATTAGGCAGCTATATACTGTTACTTTCAACCAAAACCTCATAGATGTGAAACATGAATTTAGGAATTATTCACAAATAGTGCCATAGTTGCAGCAGGATGTTGAATTTCACTGTTAAAGGATGGAGGAACCTTGATATTATGTAGGATTATAATATTGGGTCGATGTTAAAGAGCCATGATGCGGAGATGTTGTGTTCATTGTTGTGGACCAACTCTGATTGATTGCAACATGTTGGCAGTCTCTGTGTTAATAAATTAGATGCAAACCTGCTAATAATCAGGTTGCCTTTGCAAGGGGTTCTGTGCGGTCGCAATCAGGCATCTGGTTTCTGCAGCGCGTTCATTAAGCTGCCAAAAGGGAAGGAAATTAAACGCGTTTATCAGCCACCGTGTTTTTGTTTGGTTTTTCATCCTTTTAGTTGCAGACAGTTAGCCGTCATATATCTACTCGTGTCACTGAGCCATTAGAATGCCAAATAAATTAGATCCAAATATTCTAAAAAAACAAAACACTAATATGCAAGGGTGGCTCCTATTCAACTTAATTCAACAATCACTTAGATGAAAATAATGTGTTAGCATCTAATCTCTAATTAATTAATAGTATTCAAATTCAAAATAATGATGATAATGGCATCAGTCACAAAACAATGAATAACTCTTGCAATATGAAAAGTTATAAATGAATCAAATAGAGAGAGAAAGGGGAAAAAATGACTGAGGGTCTAAAGAAAGTGAAAGTACGCACTCGGCTCCTCGTGATTATCATCCTTAAACCTTTAACTGACACAGAATTGATGGAAAAAACAAAACCGAGTCGGTATAGCAGAACCTTCTAATCTACAGAGATCTGTTATATTAGCTACCTTTTGACTACAGTATTATTTTTAGAAGATGGTTATATGTGGGTTTTTTTCTGATCCCACCTCACCCTCCCACAGCAGCCAACATTTTATCCCTTTCCCTTCACTGAACTAATGCCCTGCTTTGCTTTTACTAAACCCCTACTTACTAATATCAATAACTGCACTGCAGCCCCACCAAAACCCCCACACTCTGTGCCACATTAGCAGTGCATAATGCACAGCTCTCCATATGTCACTATGTATTGACTCTGTACTGTAGTAATGCTGAATTGATTGACTGGGATTTCAGTCAATCTTTGTATGTGTGAGTTTATGTAGTGAACCTGTATGCCGTTTCTTTAAAATGTGATGTGAGTGCAGCCTTACCTGGTTTCTAAATCTGAACGTGTGTGTGTGTGTGTGTGTGTGTGTGTGTGTGTGTGTGTGTGTGTTCAGACGGCTCAGACTCTCGGGACAAACCCAAGCTGTATCGGCTTCAGCACAGCATCACTGAGGTCGGCTCAGACTGCACAGACGACGGTGCCATCCAGGTAAACACCCCATTAAAATATAAAAAATTCTAATACAAACAGTAGAATACTGCGCTATATAAACTGCACATATTAATGCTAGAATTTCTCTCTTTTTAAAAAAAGTTCTACATTGCAATTTTAAATTAAGATTTCTGTCTTTCTAAAGCTTTCAGTATTTGGGAAGAGCTCACATGCTGCCAAGTTTTGATGCCAGTGCATCCGAGCACTGATGCAAACCCTGTGGAGTTCCCTCACACTCAGTGTTCCCTTACACACACACACACACACACACACACACACACACACACACACACACACACACACGGTGTTGAATTAACTGTGCAAACATCATGACGTTACTGCAGTTTAAAAAGCTGTCTTTAGATATGATTCAAATGAAAAGCAAAGAGGTGTAGCTGGTGGAGTGAGATGCTGACCAGTGGGGGTTTTTGACCATAAGGGCCATTACACTTGAGCAGCTGCAGCTAACTGTTGTTTGAAAGTCGATCAGGTGAAAATCCAGAGACAAGGTCAGCATCAGGCAGCTGATGATCATTCCAAGGTTAATTTATGATACTTTTACTTGGCCGTCCTGGCTCGAGTTAAACTAAACAGCAAGGGTGTTTAAGCTGATAGAGAGGGGAAACGGTGCACAGCTCTAATGGGAGCTTGAAGTCAAGTGAAACTGACTGCAGAAGAGTTATTTATTTATTTATTTATTTTGCCAGAAACCAGCCGACTTGCAGCTTAAAAGTGGAGTTTTAGCCTGATGCTGCTTATGTAGCTGATATACTTGCTGTGTTTGTCTTCAGCTGCTTGGTCCGGGGATTCTGCCCCACCACTGCAACCTCATGCACAGCGAAGGCATGGTGACTGTGACGCCGCACGGCCCTGACGCAGACACATTTGTAGACGGGCAGCGCATTATCGAGACGACTGTGTTGCGTTCTGGCTCCACCATCCAGTTCGGTTCTGCCCACGTCTTCAAATTCGTGGACCCGATGTTCGACCAGGGAGGGAAGAGAGAACCGGCCATGCCGAGAGGCAGACACAAGTCTGGGTGAGGAATGGGAAAAGGGTTTGTGGGTGTCTGAATGCAAAGTTTTCACCTCAAACTTACGGACATCCATTCTTCTTACTATCCCTCCTTCTTCAACCTCTGTACACACAGTTTCCCGAAGCCTACCAACAGTAAAGAAAGAATAGGGTGTTATTGTAAATGAAGGGAGGGTGAGGTTTGGAGTTGGCAGGCGGAAGCAGAGATGAAGGGAAGGAAAAGTGGGAGGAGGGAGTCTGGGATGGGGAGAGCAGGGAAATGAGAGGAAGAGCGGAGGTCTGGGGTTACGGCAGGCAGGCTGCCCTCTAATCTGATCAACATGATGTTGGGTGTGGCCTCCTCCTCGCTGGAGTTTCACACACTAACGGGAGAAAGACGGAGGGCATACAAGATAAGAAGAGAAAGGAGAGTGTGAGAAAGTTAGGGATCAGTGAAGGAAAGGAGAAACAACTTAAGTCTTTAATGGACGACTAACACTGCAAGGAAGAGAGAAAGAAGGAAGTCTGTAAGTACCCAAAACACTAACTCACAACTGTGGGTGTGTTTCTGCATGAATTAGTTTCTACAAATGATTCAAGAAATTGTCCTTTATCTTTTGTAGCACTCTTTCATAAGCATGTGCTCAGTATTTTCTAAAGCTCACAAGGTCATGAACACATTTAAATCAGTTTTTTAACAATCTAGAGTGTAAAGTTTGCCTCTGTAAGCTTTGCCTTCAGATGAAATAAACCTTAAAATTATTTTGGAGTAAAATGAGCATAACATTTTTGCTTGGCTGAATTTAATCCACCAGCCTGGGAGTGTTTTTTTTGTGTGTTTAAGAGCTGGTTTGTTAGGTTTGAGCGCTTGCTGAGCAAACACAAAATTATACATCAGTGCAGCGTTTTAAAAGAGAGCTAATCCTGTATTTAGCTGTGGGCTGTGACTGCTTTCACAACATGTTCCTCAGAGGCTTTGACACAGGTTTGCATTCCAGTTAGAAACTCCCATCAGGTGATTTTGATTAGTAACCTCAGCTATAGAGGAAGACCTCAAAATTCATGTTTAATACGAAAATACAGCTCACAGTGCTCCACATGTCAGCAGCAAAATGTGACAATAAAATACTTCAGCTTAAAAAAAAGAAGACTCGGGATGAATGAAGTCCACAGACTGTATATATAAGATCAAAGTAGCCACTTGGTCTTTTATATACAGTCTTAATGTTGGTACTTTTGCTGCTCGAGAGTCATAAATCTCTTGCTCAGCCTGTCCCAAACAGCAATACATTATATTTGTCAGACATTTCCATTCAGACATGGCTCCGCGGGGGTAAAATGATGGCTCCGCGGGGGTTTAAGTGTTAAAAATGCTCTAAAGGGCTCCAGGAGCACAGGCATGGTTCAGATCAGCGCAGGTCAACTACAGCTGTCTATGTCTGCCGATTCAAATTCTGCCCTTAAGTTTAAGACTTGGCAGAGTCTCATTGGATGAGTTTTACCCAGTGTAGAGGTGTTATAAAGAGAGAATTTATCAATAGAAGCCAAAAATCTTCTTTTTACAGGCTTTAAATACATTTTTAATGTGTGTGTTTTTTTTTTTGTTTGTTTTAAAGAGTTAAACATCGTGCATTAACATTTGTAATTTCTAGCTATAGGATATATGAATGTGAAATATGCCACTAACATTTGGTTAAAAGGGCATTTTTAATGTTTTTGGGTTTTGGTTTTATGGCTCGTAGCATAAATCGCATAGGTCATTCTTACTATTGATGGTTTTAACGATAGGCAGCTGCATTTAGCCGGTTCTGCCTGTCCAGATACAAACATGAGGAAGATGAAATTAGCTTCCGGGTCATGGATATAGTGGATTTTTTGTAAGTTAAAGAGGTCCATATTTCCCCCAGGAGTTACAGAAAATGTGTGAATATTGACCTTAAATTGAGATTAAGCTTTTTTGGTATCACGAATGGCGAAAGGGAAAATTTTCCTCATTGCCCCAAAATGGCAGAAAACCCATTTTTATTTTTCTATATAAGCAAGAAGTGCACCTGTATAATCCAATTTCTCAATGGTTCAAATAATACTTTGGTCATTTTATTAGATTTTTTGTTATTGATCAGCTCCTTTGGGAACTTTTGTCAGTTGTCAGCTCAGTTGGAGGCATTGTGAAATGATGTTACGAGAAATGAGAACACCGAGGAGTTATATTAAGACCAGGGATCATTTTGTGCAGCTCAGAAAAGGAGAAGTTGTGGATGTGGATCTCTGTGGTTTTCTGGGCTGCTTTCCAGTGTCCTGCTGCACAAACATACCAGGATACTTGGCCACAGTCAAGCTGAGGACTCATCATAATGTTTAGGCCGATCACTGCAGTAGTTTGGCGAGGATTCTTTTTTGGCGTGGTTCAGATGATCTTGTAAGGGAATGAGTGTTTGATCCTTTGATAATCTGCTCCCTCTTAACTTCATCTATATTCACTGTCAGTGAGTGAGAGAAAAACATGAATGAAACCAGCCAGAAGCCTTAAAAGGAACTTTAATCTGTATCATGTTTAATTTGAGATCATTTTAAATAAATCGTTATCAGATCCTTGTGCTGTAATCTCAGTACGCATGACACAGCAGATTCACATTTTAAACACTGTTTTTCTTGTTTTATATCATGATAACAGCCTTTTTTGGTCTGCATGTTTGACTTGTTAGCAGCTGACGGAAGTGTGGCACAGATGCAGGATTACAATAGTACGCTTTCTAAACAGAGAAATGAGGCGAGTTGCAAGAAGACTGTTAGTGAGCGGGCGCAAGGTTAAGCAGCACTGTGGTGTGTTTGTTTTGAATTTTCTGTCAGAGTAGAGACTGCCAGAAAAGGCAGATGCTATTGCTGTGTGCTCATACTGCTATGACGCAGTCTTGGTTCTCTTGAAGGTTTCTTCCTCTTAAAAGAGCGTTTTGTTTTTTCCTTCCCACTGTCACCAACTGCTTGTTTAAAAGGGATCATTTGATTGTTGGGGTTTTTCTGTACTATTGTAGGGTTTTATCTTGCAACATAAAGTGCCTTGAGGCGACTATATAAATAAAATTGAATTGAAAGTGACCATTTAAAATGATGGCGTCTTGGAAGACATGCAAGGATGGCAGGGTGAGATGGTGGGCCCAACTGAGTTATCAAATAATAGCAGCCTTATTGGTTAGAAAGCTGCATCCAATGACGGTATAAAGATGGACAAAGATTGAAAAATTACACCTTCATTCTTTTTAATGGCCAACAGGACTCAACTCCTCTGATTGCAGAGGGTTTCTGGTCGTATAGAAGTCTAAGTTGACTCTCACCTGCCTATCTCCAAGAACTCTGTAAACATTTTTTCATTACTTTAATGCATGAGGCCTTATTTTTGTCAAGCACTGAGTGCATTTTGTAAGTTATAGTCATCCTGAGGCTTTTCCAGGGTTATCCAGGATATGTGTGTGGTTTCACTGTCAGATCCACATCTCATTCACCACATCTGGTTTCAAAAAACTGATAGTGAAAACACTCATTTTGAGGCTTCATAAAACTAACAAACAGGTGGCATCACAGTGGCTCTCTCCAGCTATTGTACAGTACAGCTAAAACACACAGAAAGCCTTCCTTGGTGCTAATTAACAGACCAGAACTGAAGCACAAGCTTATTAATTGGTCTGCACTTTAAAACAGAGTTTGTGAAAGGGAAAGCCTATCTGTGGAGTAGGGCTGGGCGATATATCAAAAATTTATCGTTACCGAAATTTATGACTCTCATCGACGTCATTTTGCCCATGTCGGTAAATTCGGTATTTTAAAAAAAAGAAAAGGCATGTGCAGGTTGGCGATGTTCATGTCCCTTTAAGACGCTGTGCTACGTTACAGACTTGACGGGGTGGAGTCACATGACTCTACTACCTGTTAAGCTGGGCAGACACTGTGCGATTTTTTCAGTCGCGCGATTCAGCTCCTGCTCAAACTGTACGGTTGACTCGCAGGGGTTAGAAGTTCATAGGTCACGATGCAGGGTCTCACACTATACGGCCCGATGCTCTGATGCGACCTGAGTGCTCACACTGTGCGTCCATAAAATGAAGGTTATAACAGAAATTCTGTCGCTCGCTCTCCCTCTCTGTCTTTCACTCACACAGACACACCACCACCATCAACTTTGCTAAATTGCTAATGAAAAACATTGATCAGGCAGCTGTGATTGAGCAGCAGTGTAGATCCAACTATTTTCACGGTTGTTGTGGTCGTGATCATTTTGTGAGGCCACATCGAAAAGGCTCGGATGAGCTTTCCAAAGTTCTACAAGTTGTGCCTCCGTCGCTTGTGTCCAGATCACACGCTGCACGTCGTGCTGCGCCGTCTTTTTCGCTGACATTTGTGTTTGCGCGTGCGCAGTGTGACAAACTGCGGTGACACCCTCACGACGGTCGTGAATCCTCGCGACCAAGCGATTGATGATCGGGAGCTCGTCGTGAGGTGTCAATCGCTTCTCGTTACCCCACGTATACTATACGATGCATGACGCACGATGAAGGCCAAAATCGGGCCGATCGCCAAAACGTCGCACGACTCAAAAATTGGCTCAAAATGGGCCAAAAATCGCACAGTGTAGCCCAGCATAACAAGACGAGACACGGGTGAACAAATGGAGGACGATTTAAATGTTGAAGCAGCAGCGACGGAGGTAGAGCTGGTGGAGGAGGAAGAGGAGACGCTTGTTAACAAAAAAAATGCATCATCAATCGTTTGGCAACATTTTGGATTCAACAAGGATGATATTGATCAAAAAATTGTTAAATGTAAACTCTGCAAAAAGACTGTTGCGTCAAGTCAAGGTAACACAACCAACCTCTTCCACCACCTGCAGCACAAGTTTTTGTTTAAGAGTTTATAGTTTTCACTAGTCACATGGCAGTGCTTAGTATTTATTATAGTTTTTTCTGTGTTCAATTGACATTTGTGTTTGTGACATTATTTGTTTACAAGTTATAGTACCTCAAGGCCTTAGCAGAGATAGGCCTTTGTCCATGATGGCATTACATTTGCACAATCATTGTTTACTTTGTGAATAGCCAATGTGAAACATATTTATTATTAAACTATTTTGTTTACAAGGGATACACATTTTTTAGAGAGCATGGTTACATATTGTATCCTACACTTTTTATTTTGTTCAGTTAATAAATCTTAACCACTAAAAGTACTTACTACTATTGTCTTCATTTATTTTCAGTGACATTTTACAGTCCTTTAAAGTGGTAATAATATAATTGCAATGAATAGGTCTAGGGGGAATAATATTATCAAAATAACTGGAGGAACTATGCTGCCTGCCACAGCCCCATCAAATGAAAAAAAAAAAAAAACGTTTGTTTTTTTTGGCACTTGGGGTGGTTATCGTCCATTTATCGTTATCGAGGTTAACTGCTCAATTTATCGTGATATTGATTTTAGGCCATATCGCCCAGCCCTATGGGAGGCTAACAATGCTTTTTAATGCAGTGACGTGGAGCCTGTGGGGCTCGACTCACATTTGAAGCCAGTCCCAGGTGGCCGTTAGAGGAATTGCAGTCTTTGGCACATCTACATAGTATTTATTTTCCAGCTGCGGAGGTTGTGGCTTTGAGCCTGATTCACATGACTGTCTGGTTTCTGAGATCACATGACACCTGTCATTGATTCCCACGCTGGGATTTGGGACCATCTTGTTAAAGATGTTAGAATCTGTTTTCAAAAGCTGAAAACGGCAGCATCAGAAAGATTTTAATATTTTATCTGTTTTTGCTGGAGTTATGAGTTTGTTTGTAATGTAATTCATTTGATTAGAAATTTAGTTTAAGAAAGAAAAAAACAATCAGTCTACTTTCTCTGTCTATGTTGATGCTGGTAATGGTTTAACCTTGTTTGGCTGCTTTTGTTTATTGTGTGCGTGATGGAGATCTCCGTGTCAATGACATGAAGCACTGATCTCTTGTGTTTTGTGCTGTGCTCTTTATCGACATTAGCCTTGCTGTCACGCGGGCTGTGAAAGCAGAAGCCTGTCTTTTTAAACCCGACTGGTGACACACACACACACACACACACACACACACACACACACACACGACATCCTGGCGTTGCTGTGAGTTAGGACTCGTGGCGTGGCTTCTCTATAACTAATTAGACTGTTATGTAAGAGTGTGCATGCATAAAGCGAGCTATCTGTGTGCAAATATCAGCGAGTATTTTACTGCCTCTCACGCCCATCGCTCTCCTCTGTGACGGTGAGTTAGATAAGCGAGCGTGTGTGTGTCTGGGTTTAAGTCTGCGCTCTTGTCGACGTCAGTAATGAAAAGTCAGCTGTGGAGAGCGCAGTTCCTCATCTGAACCTCTGAATGTCTGTGTCTCCCCACTGAAGCAGCGTACCAGAAACCACCTTCGACCTTCACGGAGACGTCCACAGTGGAGGAGCCCTGCCTACCAGCAAGGTAACACACACATGCACACAGACAGAAAAAGAAACACCCACTCATTTTCGTGTATATACTTTATTCCATTCAAAATTCTCTCTGCTCTGCTTTCTGCTCTCAAACACTTAAACACTATGCTGTTAATATTTTTATGTTTTATCTGTCTGAACTTTTATTAAGCAGACTGGCTGGAAGTCGGGCATCATCATATTTTTGTTTACTGCACTGCTTCTGTGGTGGATTCTCCTTTTAAAGTTGGTTTCAAATAATGACGTTAGTTTATGTTCAAGTCATCGCTGTTCAGGCTGCTCTAAACATGCCAATTTTGACAGTTTCTTTTCCCCCTGCTCTGTATGATGCCTTATCTCAACTATTGTCAACACAGGTGCACAGCTGTCACAGCGAGCACAGAAGCTCCACCCACCTACTATTTAAGCCTTATTTTTGCGAGGGGGAACAAAACTACTACAGTAACTAGTCGTGGTAGAAGAATTCACAGATTTAAAAATATGGAGCCAATCTTATTATGATAATTATGCACACCGGTGGTATTTATCTGTATCTTTCAAATTTCTTTGCAGTTAAATGTCATTTATAGAGTGACAAACCATGACACATCTTAAGGTGTTTTATTTTCAAAGGTAAAGACTATGCACATATTATAAATATTATAAAAACACAATGATTCCACAATCGTCCGTGAGAGAGCTGCTGATGACAAAAAGGAGAAAAATGACTCATGGGTTTTCCAAAAATAATTAAGTCTTTTGTTGATTATCGGTATTGATTTTCAGATCTTCTTGAGTGCATTTCATCTAACATTTAACTCCAAAGAAGTTTAATTCAGATTATTTAAAAATCTGATCAAAGATTAATTTTGTCATTTGATTATTGGTTTGACTAACTGCAAAAGCTCTGGAGAAGCAGTAAAACGTTTTTTAAATGTCAAACTCAATACAAAGAAACAAAAACTTGATGAAAAGTGGAAAAAGGGTTGTCATGTTGCTTTTGCTGTAGTAGTTCTGCCAATAAATCTGACCCAAGTCACCATTGTCGGCTTTCCCAGACAAAACTCCATGACACCATAACTTTGATTTGTTTCCCCACGCTGCATTTAAGCCTCGTAGGACTGTAGCCAGTATCTTTAAAATATAATAAGGGACAAATTTCCGTATGTTAAGTTGAATTGAAGCTTCTTTTTTTCTCTGTGTGTTTTCAGAGCTCAGGAAAGCTGGACATGGAGAGAGGAATGGTCAAACCCATGATCAGAGGAGAGCAGCAGGACAGCAGGTCAGACATGGTTTCCTCCAATACCCTGGATTCTCTTGATCCTCATGCTTATCCTTTTTCTCCCCTCTGTATGGATCTCCTCTCCTCATGGTTTGAATCTGTCTCATCAGGTCTCAGGATATTTCAGCAGACAGAACAGAGCTGACTCTTCCAGCCAGCATCGAGTTCAGAGACAACTGTGAGTGTTCGCGCATCACTTTCTGCCTCTTCATTCACCTCACTGTGTCAGTGACACAGTCAATAGCTGGAAACTATTGAACCCTTTCAGTTCCCGTCGTAACGTCCTGGACCGACAAACCTGACCTGATTGCACTGGAAGTAGTGTCATGGTTAATGCAGGCAGTTCAGAGGCTTTTCACGTTTTCTCTCACCTCGCCGACCTGCAGCGATGAAAGGCTGAAAGCCATTATAATCATTAAAATCCTATTTGACGTTGTGGCACAAAGTCAAGCACGTTCAGTGGTTTTTGCTCCTCGTTTCTGAGCCTGCTTGTGATATTCTTGAACAAGATCTGCGGGTGCAGCCGGGGTGAAGGGGACTCTCCATCACTGCTTTTTGAAGCCAATGTGGTTTTATTTGATTTATCAGAGTGTGATCTTCAGCATTGGAGGTCGACACCTCCAAATGTGAGACTGTGAAGTGCCCTCTCTGGGTTGAAAGGCAGATATCTCAGGATGTTTTTCTCGAGACATGGCGCGGAAAGGTAGATTTATGGGTCTATCGACCTCAGCCTTCACCTTCACTTATCAGCAGTAATACGGGCATTGTATCAGACTGTTGTAAAAGAGACGTCCACGTATGTTCTAGCTGTCATATTTGGTCATGAGAACAAGTTAATGAACAATAGTGCAAAGTCAAAAATACAAGCAGTCACAATGAGTTTCCTCTGCAGGGTGACTGAGCTCAGCCTTCGAGCAAGGTTGCAGAGCTTGTACATTTGGAAGGATCTTGGAGTGGAGCTTCTGCTCAGTCGTGTTGAAAGCTGCCAGCTGAGGCTGTTCCATCGTCTTGTAACAATGCCGCTGGAGGTTTTGGGGGCATGTTTATCTGGGAGGAGACCCTTGGGAACTACAATCAATTTATAATCACCACTTAACCCTTACCCCATGCATGTTTTTGAACTGTTGGTGGAAGCTGGAGTTCCCAGACAGAACCCATGCAGACACAGGGAGAACATGCAGGCTCCATACAGAACGGAAAAGACTGGATTCAAACCCAGGAACTTATTCCTGTGGAACTTTTTCTGTGAAGCTGGCAGGTTGAAGACCATTTCATGACTGGCCTCAAAGGGTTTTTATTGTTCTCTCGTGCACCTTGAACGGTGGAGAAGTTTGGTGCTGTGGTGCATGTATGAAAACTGCTACATCGGGGTGTTTCTGCCTTTACATGTCAGAGTACATTACAGAGATTAATATTAAGCTTCATGATTTCCATCTCTGCGTTTTTCTGAGCCGTGTTCGAGCTGTGCATTCCTGTTTAATAAAGTAATAAAATGAAAGTTCTCCTTTTGTCTGCCGGTGTGGAGGGAACCTTAGAGCTGGACTGAGTTGTCCTAATCCCCGGCATTTAATTTTCTAATGTCTCTAGTGAATCCTTTATTAGATGATTTCAGAACTCTTTGTTGCTGTTGGATGTTAGATTCATGATAATTGAGTTCCAGACGGCAGTGCAACGTTTCGTTTCCCACGCTTTTTGTAGCCACGAACGCTTCGAGCCGTTTGCTTTGTCTTCTGTTTATTGACTCTTCTTCTGCTCCGGGCCCGAGTCTATCAGCGTGCACGCTCTGACAGTGCTACAATATATTTGGCACCGTGTGTGAGATCATCTGTTTTCCAGGCAAAAGATGGTTTTTGGTCATAAAGTGGTGGAGACTCTCATACCCCACAGTCCTCAGGGAGCCTAACCATGTGCTGTAAGAGGCAGAAAAGGTGCAGTAGTCTCATCTTCAGGTTTTCATATGGAGTGTTGTAGCTGCTAAAGTGCAGCTGCCACCAGTTTGGCATAGAGTTAAAACCGAATGACTCTAAAGTGAGGCAGCTGGTTTCATTGGTGTTTTCAACATGACACGCATGTGCAGCCAATATCTGCACCGCCAAAGCGACTGATACAAACTGCTTCCCACAGCTCAGAGGCGGCGTGGGCCGACACTTTGAACATGCAGTTTGATTTATTGTGTGCAGTCATTTCTGCCTTTACATACAGTTTTTAATGAGAGATGATATATAAAACCTTTGCATTCATTAATTACCATTATCAGCTATAATGATGAGCTGTTATTCCATGAAATAATAATTAAAAAAAATCAGCTATAGTGAAAGAGTTAAACAGGTGGAGATTGTTGTCAGAAGGAGCAGGAATGAATGAATGAAAGCCAAAATAGATGAATAAAAACATGAATGAATTGAATAGTAAACTAGAAGTCTAATAAACAAATGAATATTATTATTATTATTATTATTGTTATTATTGTTATTGTTATATTAAAAAATAGACAATTAAGAAAAGTTAAGTTTTATTTATCAGTCAACACAGTGGGGAAAAGAAACACGAAACCAGATAAAAAAAGAATAAAATGAGAATCCATGAATGAATTCATCAATGAATGGCTGAGTGGGTTAAAACAAACAAACAAACAAACAAACAAACAAACAAACAACAACTGGATGGATGGAAACAGAATAAATAACAGATGAATGAATAAAGCCAGGAACCAGTTGCTGAATGAACTGACAACACAAGGAGTATCTGAATGAAATGCTGAATGAAAACACAGGAAACAAATAAAACTCCTGCTTGCCTCTTTAACACATTTCCGGTGTTTTCTACTGTAGGACTACGATAAAGTGGCTGGAAGTAAAAATGCTCTGTAGTCATCAGTTCAGTTCTCCATTGTTTTGGTGTCTAAGAAGCCTTTAATCCATGTTTTCATAACCCAACTCACCCTTTCTGCGTCATACTTCATTGTCTCACCCATACACGTGACCATGAGTTTAGTTTGTGGGGGATTACTTAAGCTGCATGTTTATTAATTAATTATTAATTAATCACGTGAAATCTGTTACGTCCTCTGACAAACAGCGGCTGCCGCAAAGATTTTATCGAATGTATTCTCTCTGTGTCCATCCAGCTGAAGACACCTTCCTCTCTGCCATCATCAACTACACCAACAGCTCCACGGTTCACTTCAAACTCTCGCCCACGTACGTCCTGTACATGGCCTGCCGCTATGTCTTGTCGCCCACGTACCGGCCCGACATGTCGCCGTCAGAGAGGACGCACAAGGTCATCGCCATCGTCAACAAGATGGTGAGCATGATGGAAGGAGTCATCCAGGTCAGTAATGCGTCTTTTAAAAGTCTTTTCACTGTAATTTTTAAAAGCAGTCTAATCAAATCATCGATTAATTTGCACGTTATCTCGTTCTCATGCTCCTCCTGCTTTTGTCAAATATTAGGTGACGCTCAGCGCTGTTCTTACAAAACTACATTTGTAGTGGTTGTAAGCTGTGTGTGTGTTTGTGTGTGTGTTTGTGTCTAGCAGCTTTTCTCCACAGTTGTGCTTTCGATTCTGTTTGTCCATCACTCAGTGTTACGCTCGAGATGTGAAGCCTGTTGTGACTCAACATGGAGCTACTGTTACTTAAAATGTCAAGTTTGATGCCGGTCTTATAGCCGTTTTTTGTAGGGGAGGGAGGCGGTGTCAAAACAGTAATTTTTAAAGACTTTTTCGAGATCTCCTCCTCTAAATAAAACTGCATAGAGGTATCTGTGTTCAATATTGCGTTAAGACAAACATCTGCAAGAAGTTTTAATAAACATGCTAAAAATGCCTGGTTTTAATTGAAACAGTCTGTATGGAAATATGAAAAAGGATTAAGACTTTCACCATCTGTTCAAACTTTTTGTTAACTCTGGGCCACGTTAAAAACAGCCAGAAATTCTTTCTCGTTTTCCCAGCAACTTCAGTACCTCAATTTTTTCTGTACAAGAGTTCAACACATGAGATTTTCATATTTAAGCGCTTTTTAAACCAATTTTGATACTCCAAGTTTCACAAGCGTCATATCGCAATGTGGGATAGATAGCTGGGCACAACAAGTTATAGATTATGAAATCTTTTTACCTATAGTTTGATGGCAAGCTCATCTTCTAGTTGTGATCCCTTCACAGAAAAGAAATCCCTGTTCAAATGTTCTGTAAATTGATTTAGACATATCACATCGATCAGTTTCATGTCCTAAACAGGTGTGGGGAACTTCAGGCCTCAAGGGCCGGTGTCCTGCAGGTTTTAGATGTGTCCTTGATCCAACACAGCTGGTCTAAATGGCTAAATTACCTCCTCAACATGTCTTGAAGTTCTCCAGAGGCCTGGTAATGATTGATTCAGGTGTGCTGACCCAGGGTGAGATCTAAATGCTGCAGGACACCGGCCCTCGAGGCCTGGAGTTCCCCACCCCCTGTCCTAAAAGGAAGAATAAGAGTGAAAAAACTTTTTCGATCCAGCTCTGTATACTCTATAAAATATTTATAGCATGAAGTTAAGATTTTGCATTGCTTAACTAAAGTTACTGTACAAAATAAAAGATAAAAGTGATCCTTGCTGGGTTAGGTGGGAGCACGATGCCACATATGGAGCAGAGGATCTTAGGAGGGGAAACGTAAACACATAAACACCTACATGTTTCTTTTAAAGCCTCCAGCATCCAGTAAAGCCATTACTGCTTTTATTTGTTTAGCCTGCAGCAAGCTATTCATTGTCTTTGGCATGCAGAAAAGTTCTAAAACACAAGCACAGACTCACAAACGCACACACAAGACTGTAAGACTATTTCAGTCTGTGTAGTAGGAGTTCAGCTTTATAGAGTTTCAGGAAAACTATCTTTAGCTACAGACTGAGAGATGTGGGAAGCTTGCTTATAAACTGTGTGTGTGTGTGTGTGTGTGTGTGTGTGTGTGTGTGTGTGTGTGTGTGTGTGCACGTGCGTGTTTTCAGTTATCATCTGAACATTAATCATTGCATACGAGACACTAATCCAGCAGATCAGGATATTTTTGGAGCATCTCTTTGGGATGTTCCTCGCCAATAACAGTGCTCGCACTCTCTAATATTTAATCCTTGTTAGAGTGCGGTTACAATAGTGTGCTTCAAACATTTTATGCAGCTTTTAGTTGTAAAATATAAAACATTGTATACCTCGTTCACTTTTGCAGTGTTTTCTTTAACATTTTTTCTTTTCCAGCTGACCTCCATCACTTCACTTTTTTGAGGATGGCTTTACATTGTAAACCATAATCATCGTGTGTGTCAAAGTGTATCTGTGTGTCACATAGCTGTCCATACTGTAGCCGTTGACGTGTTTTCTCTCTGTCCTGTGAACGTGTCCTCTTCCTCCTCCTCCTCTTCCTCTTCCTTCCATCCAGGAGATTGCTGAAGGGGATCAGGTAGGATAGCACATCATGATACGGCTGCTAAAGACTCGTCTACCTCTCTCTCCCTGGCTCTGACGCTCTCTCTTTGTCTCATTTTCTTGGGGTGGGTGATGTGGGTAATATTAATTGCGCAGTGCACTTTATATTCCGTACTTGCTACTGTTAATGTGAGCTGCACAGATTAGCAATGCCAAGAGCTTTGCAACTCAATACTTTTACTGTATTATCCACAGTTTTCAGAGCTGTTTTTAAGGAACATATTGCAGAGGAAATAAAACAGTCGATCACGTTTGCCATGGTGACAAAATACTACTGGATTATAGTATTGTTCTCAGTGTAGGTTGATTTATTACTCCCAATAGCAACAGAAAAAATGGTTGTTGTTGTTGTTACTGTTACTGTTATTGTTGTTATTATTATTATTATATTGTTATTATTATAATAATGTTAGTATTACATTGTAACTATTAAGTAAAGAAAGATAAATAAATACTTCTGTGTTGAATCGACATAAAGCCTGTTTAAGTGACCGACTCGTGGTCGGCGTTTATATGTGTGCATGGTGTGTCTCCGTTCTTGTGCAGTCACTCCCAAAACACTAGTTATGGGTGTTTTGATGTTTTTCAAACCTATTCACTGGATTTGAAAATGGAAATAGCAAAAAATGCATTATTGTAGTCATTTTTATTTAGTTTAGACTTTTTGCTGTTAATTTTCAGGCAGTTTCTGTAGTGAGGTTTTCTTGTTTCAGTTTCATTTTATTTAAAAATATTTTGTTTTAGTTTAATTTTATTAATTTAAGAGTTAGTTTTTGGCCTTTTAGTTATTATTATATGAGATTTATATCAGCGGTAAAGTACAGGTATTTCAGGTATTTAAAAAAAAAAAAGAAGAAAAAAAAGAAGCCAAACTTTTGGAAAGCTGTTGACTCAGTCTTATAGACAAACAGTACAAAAACTAAGCAAATTTCTTGCTATCATTTTTTCCTAGTTTGTTTTTCCCCAGGTCTGTTTATAATTTTTATTTTAGTTAATTACATTTTGGTCACACCTATTTTTAGTTTTAGTTAACTTTAATAACCATGGAGGAGAGTCACAGTCGTTGCGAGCTGCATCAACGTGATGCGTAGTTGTATTTCTAGTGAGGTGCACATCAGGTTGCGGTTTATGGTTACCTGCACCATATCTCTAACATTGTTAGTTTTGCGTCAGAGTTTGTCTCGTTGTGCACCTCTGGACTGCTTTAGGACAGCTTCTGTTTTTCAGATTGTTGTTCATGTCACAAAGTTGCAGACGGTGAGCTGCAGTCAACATACATTTTTCTGTTATGCATCACTGTAGGTGGTTCAGTAATCTCATTCTATGTACTAAGGAAACAAAAGTTGTTATTGCATTGCAAAGCTTCCTCCACGTGCATGATGGGTCTTTTTTTTTTTTTTGCGCTGTGCTACTGCCAGCTGATTTCAGTCTGCGTGCAGGGAGTGGAAATGTGAACATTAACGTTATTGCATGAAGGGGCATGGACACGATGGTTAAATGCTCAGCTCTGTGATGATCCTTAGCTTGAAAGTTGTTTGTTTGGTGTTCGTGGTCGAAGCGAGACTTCCACAGAGTGATGATCAGGATAACAGTGCGCATGGATTTGAAGATCTTTTTGATCGAAGCTCGTATGTTAAATTATTTCTTTACCTGAAACCTCGACTCCAGACCAACTGGGTAAAAAAAAAAAAAACCCAACACATTTTAATTAAGGTGAATCAGATAACATTTAAGCACTGGTGACGTAAAATCACATCACCAACCTCATCAACCCCTCGGCTTTCCTCTATTAATCTCTGCCCCCACTTCTCTCTCCCTGTCCTACTTTCTTCTTCTCTCTCTATGCTTTTTTTCTTTTTGACCAGCCCTTCATTGTTGCTGCTGCTTCTTTTTCTCCATTCTAACAGAGATGATGTAAAATACCGCCGTAATAATGCATCCTACCCCACAGCTGGAAAACTAAGCAACAACAGCAACATCAACTTGACTAATTCCATTCAGCTTCCTGGACCTGCCTGGTACTAAAAAACAAACACACCAAAGAAAAAAACAAAACAAAAACAGAACAAAAACCAAAGCATCCACTTCTCTCCATCATTGCTCAGTCTTTAACTCTGGCATCCATTTTTTTGTTTTGTTCTTTTGTTGTGACCTCACATCTTGCTTCTTCTACTCGACGGTGTGGATGAGAGACAAGTCGCGTCCCTCTGACCTGCTCCACCTCGTCTGCTTCATTTGTCTGTTTGGATGTTCATTTAACGTGTTCAGCCATCCATCTGTGTTTCATTGTGGATGCACTTGGCTCCATCTCTCATTGTCTGGCTGTTCTGAATGAAGGGTTATTATTGTTATTATTATTATTATTGATATTATTATTATTTTCTTTTCTTTGTTCTGTTTTCATTTGTTTTTCAAAGGTGGGTATAGATGAATGCAAGGGACCAAGCTTTGCACAATCCTCTCTCTCTCTGAGCGGTGGGGATTTTAACCAATCAGCTCCTCAGACATCGAGCTTCGTCATGATTTAAACTGTGAACTAAGACGGCCGGTGTCTGTCGATCTGATGAATGGGAGAGAAAAGGAGAGGTCACTCTTGTGTAAAACAAAACTATCACAGAGCTCACGACACTTTGTTTGTGTTCACCGATCTGAAAGTGATGACCACTCTTCTTCTCGACACCCGGTTGGCTTAGAGGGAGGGGTGGGCGAGGCATGAGTCTATCCCTTAAAGTAACAGCTGCTCCTTCTTGCTGTCACTCAAACAGAAACCCCTCTGTCCTCCTCCCTTATTTTTTTTAATTTTTAACTTTTTTTGTTTTTTACCCTTGAGTCTTCCCTGGACACTTCTACTCTAACAACTTCTACCATGTTTTTCTTCTTTGTGTGTGGTTGTGATTGGTGCATTACAGAAGCAGAAGAACATCGCGGGAGCACTGGCTTTCTGGATGGCCAATGCCTCCGAGCTGCTCAATTTCATCAAACAGGACCGAGACCTGAGTCGCATTACGCTGGACGCCCAGGACATCCTCGCCCATCTGGTCCAGATGGCCTTCAAGTCAGTTTGTGTTTGTGGATGTGGGTGTAGATAATAAACTGTGAACAAAGATATAGCCATTGTGATGATGCAGACAGGTTAATGCCTTCCCTTTGCGAAGCATCAGTGTTTTCGTCTTTGTGACTCTTAACAGAAACTGCAGTTTACAAAATGTTGATTATTAATTCAATAAGAGATCAAATAAATACCCGTAAACTCACCACAAAAGTGTTTCCTAGGGTCACAGGGGGAGGAAGCTGTTATCTTTTCTAGCTGCAGGAGTCGCCCACTGCTGGCCATTAGAAGGAATGCAGGTTAATGGGGTTGATCCAAGTGAGCAGTGCATTACTTTGTCCTAAAAACAAATGAGTGCATCCAGTTAATAATGTTGCCCCAGTCAAAATGAATGAGAGGTGATGATGATGTTGATGGACTTAAATTTATACATGTGAAATAAGCAGAGCTAGAATCTACCTCAAATTTTAGTTCAGTTTTATTAATATAGCACCAAAAGAAAACAGTCACCTCAAGGGGCTTTATATTATAAAGACAAGACCCACGATCATAGAGAGAAACCCCAACGATCATACAACCCCCTGTGAGCATGCGCTGTCTTTTATATGCAGTCCAAAGTGTCCATCCAATACTTTAATAAGGATTTCATTACATTAACTTGTTAGTATAACATGGATGATAAGAAACATAGGCTTGCAATTCTTTCTGTATAAATGACATTCGCTGGCAGTTAGCAGTAATTTAAACTTCTCACTTGGTTTAGAAGCATTATGGAAAATATATGAACACACTGATAACCCACATTAAAGTTTCTGAAAGCATCTGAAAGTGTAAAATACGTTCAGATGGTGACCTTTGATGTGAACAGTGTTGAATGACGTTGCAACAAGCTGTATCGTGTTGCTGCAGGTACCTGGTCCACTGTCTCCAGGCCGATCTGAACAACTACATGCCTGCCTTCCTCGATGACCCCGAGGAGCATAATCCACAGAGACCAAAGATCGGTAATGTGCAAACACACATCCACAGGAAGCAACCAAGACTGCTCATGACTAACAGCAACAATTCTGAATTAATTTAGGTGATTAGCTCTTTAAAATGAAGACATGTTAATCGTATGTCATTATAGGTTTTGCCGGAGTTTTCACCGTTTTATGTTAAGATGATTCCCCACTCACAGGTTGCACACATCTAGAAATTGTTAGCATTAATTTTCTCAGGTTCCTTTGGACCTTGTGAGACTAGAAAGAATATATTAGAAAATCTGAACAAAGTATTTTTTTTGTTTCCTAATGGTCTCTCAGGTGTCTTGTTTTGTTTTTTGGTTTTTTTTTAAAAAACATGCTTTGGACCTGTCTCTCTGATTTGGGATCTACTTTTCTGCAGAGTCAGTAGCTGCAGTGCCACCTTAAACTCGAAGAATTTTATTTTTTTATCAAAACTCTCTGAAGTCAAGAATTTACACAAACATGGAGCCCAAGATTTCTCAGCAGACTCCAGAAACTCGGAGGAAAGCCCAAATTGAACTCTGTAGCTATCGTTGTTCACTGTATTTGTTTGCGTACAGGCCTGGTTTTAATAACCTGATCATACAGCTCCTGGAAACTGTCCATATACTTAACTCACATTTCATGTAGAGGATCATTGCGGGTTGAAAAGCCCACAGTTTTCAAGTCAGACAGTGTTGCATCAGGTGAGGAGTGAAACCAGGAGGCGCTTGTCTTTTTTCTGAGGATGTTGTACATATGTACTGAAAGTTTTCTTCCAAAAAAACACAACCTTCAATCACAAACTCCTCCACTTGGCTTCCTGTCAGTTTATTAAGATAATTATAATCCAGCTGGAAGATTGTATTTTTTTTTTTTAACACTGGAAGAAGTTCGCCTATCACAGAAGCAAAAGTACAAGGGCATGTAACCGGATTTCTACTGAGTGATCTCAAAAAACAAGCCTCACACGGCTCAGAATGACCTTGAACAGGATATAAGACTTAGAGGGGAAGATTTTTTTCTCACCTCCCGGTTTCTCTTTTCAGAGGACGTCCTGCACACACTGACGGGGGCGATGTCGTTACTGCGGCGGTGTCGGGTCAACGCCGCTCTCACCATCCAGCTCTTCTCGCAGCTCTTCCACTTCATCAACATGTGGCTGTTCAACAAGCTGGTGACAGATACCGGCTCGGGGCTGTGCTGTCACTACTGGGGCGCCATCCTCCGGCAGCAGCTGAGCCACATCGAGGCCTGGGCTGAGAAGCAGGGTCTGGAGCTTGCTGCTGACTGCCACCTCAGCCGAATCGTACAGGTAAGATGGTAAACAGTAAGCGTCTGTGCAGGGGTGTGAGCAGATGGTCGCTAAAACAGGTTTTAGAGGCATTTTCCTCAGTTGTGTCAGTCACACTAATTGGTTTATTGCATCTTTTTAAAATATCTCCATTTTAATTTTTTCTTATTACTATAAAGGGTTTTGAAAAGATAAAAAAAGAATATGTTCGACTGATTTACTTGTTGGTTGTGTCCCATTTTCTGTTTTTAGGGAATTACGCAGACCTGTAAAAGTACTATTACAGAGTAGCTCCTGTGGAAGAGTAAGAGGGTCTTGAAGTGACAACTCCCAGAAAGTTGATTCTGTTTATCTCAACTTTGCTTTTTCAGAAATGTTTTGTTACTCATTCAAGTGACGACTACTGTCTCAGGTGACCGCAGGTTTCCCAAGTCTAATAAATGGTACATTTGCATAATGATTGAAACTGACTAACAATGGGCCATTTTTTGCTATGACACCAGGGATTCAAAAAAAAGTGGGTTGTGATGTTACTGCTGCAAGAAGTCAGAAGGAAGCCATTTGTAATTTAAAAAGAAGAAGAAGAAGAAGAAACTGAACTGAAAAACATCTCAATGTGATTTTAAAAATAACAGGTTTTCCTTCAGTTTCTGGCCTATTCTTGACCCTGAACTGTGGTCTATTTAATCAGAGAGCACAAATATGGCCATCAGCTAAAGCTGTTAATGTGATCAAAATTAAGATTAAAATGAGTCAGTGAATCCACATGGAAGGAATCATTTCCTTTTGTGCGGTGTGCAGTTGGGATTGAAGGTTTGGGTGGGCTGCAGAAGGTTTTCAGGATCTGTAAATTGGCTGCGGCAGTCTGAAGTTTGGGAGTAGATGTTTACTACACTGCAGCAATTCAGAGAGAAAATGAAGAGGCTGAAACAAGAAATTAAGAGACCACAACAAGACATGGAGTTGGACTACCAACCGCTGACTGGCTATTACATCACTACAATCCCTTTTAGCAGCATGAATGCAACCAGGAAAAAATGCTTTGAAGCTTTGCAGTTTCTGGAGGATCTCTTCTTGCCCAGACGGAAACTTGTATAATCCTCTGTTATAGTAAACCTGAAATGAAAAATCGTAAAGAGGCAAACACTCCAAACCCCTGCTCAGGTGCTTCTCTGGGACTCTGCTTTATCAGCTTCGACTGACTCTGGCAAAACAAGCAAACAACTCAACAGCTGTCATCAGATTCTTATTACTGTCTCACAACACTCGCCTCGCCTACAGTCAGCCAGTCAACACAACCGCGGAAGTCTCTCATTTCGTGTGCTTGTAGATAACGTTGCGACCACGTGTGGCCACTCTGTTTACATTCAAAACAATAAGATGTGTTTGATTTACAACATGTGTGTTTGTGTCCCCTTCCAGGCCACCACCCTGCTGACCATGGATAAATACTCCATGCAGGATGTGCAGACCATCAATAACACTTGCTTCAAGCTCAACTCCCTGCAGCTTCACGCCCTCATGACCAACTACCACTGTGCCCCCGATGAGCCGTACATCCCACCTGTAAGATAAACGGCGTCTTTAAACATGTGCAGCATTTTTATTGGATTAAGTTAGATGAAACTGGAGTTATTCAAGTCAAACTGATTTTTAGAAACTTCTGCTGGTTTCTGTGTGTTTAGGAGCTGATAGACCACGTGGTGGCAGTGGCGGAAAACACAGCAGATGAGCTGGCGAGGAGTGACGGCAGAGAGGTTCAGCTCGAGGAGGATCCAGACCTCCAGCTGCCCTTTCTCCTTCCTGAGGACGGCTACTCCTGCGACGTGGTGCGCAGCCTCCCCAATGGCCTGCAGGACTTCCTGGAGCCTCTCCTGCAAAGAGGTAAAAAGTCAAACTATATGTGAATAAGGAATGAAGTCATATAGGAAATATATGAATGAAAGCCTTCAAATAGGTTTATGTTTTATGAGAATGTAAATGACTTTGGTTGAATAAGAGCAGATAATTTTTCCCAGGGTTTTTAATTTGTTTTTATTGTCATTGTTTTAAATAAAACCCTGTATACCTAAAGGGAAACAAACATTCATTGAATTATGTTTCATAACTGTGTGTTAGTTCTGCTATTCTGAGTTTTATACCTCCTGCTTTTAAAGCTATGAGACGTACAACGAGTTTAAAGATGTTATGTTGGGATTTAAGCATCTTAAAATAAAGCAGACCAAACAAAAAGCATCAGTAGCTGCTGCTTTAAAATAAGTTTGGTTGCTTTATATGCTGTATTGCTACACTCGACAATTAACGTTTTCTTATTGTCATGGTTTCAGAAAAGCTGCTCTGAAACAAAGGTTATGATCACTCTACTATCAGTGACATTATTTCTGTGTGCGTCTGTTTCCTCTGGTAGGTTTCTGTAGGTTAACGCCACATCCACGTTCGCCCGGCACCTGGACCGTCCACTTCGAAGGAGCTGACTGCGACAGCCACTTCTCCGCTGCTGACAACTCTGAAATGGTACGACGTCGACGTTCAGTCACTCTCTCGCCACACTGTGCGTGCGTTTATTTATAGAGTTGTGTGTCAGTGCAGTGGGGCATCCTGGGTAAATTCGGTGCCACAGAGGAGACTTTGCAGGTTTAGTAATGCTGAGTCACAGAGACTGTGGAGACTGAAGTCTAAAGTAAGTCTGACAGCTAAGACAGCAGAAAACAAGACTAAAACTCAAAGTGGCTGCAGGGTCTTTGATGGCTGCAGAGTGACTTTGGGAAACTGTTCTTTTTTTCAGCATTTACATTTTCATGCTGCGCTCTTGCTTTGAGTGGATGATCTTCACTGAGATCCCATCCACTTTGCTCTGTATGCTGCCCAGACACGCCTCCATATCGTCAATAACGATGAGCTGCTCTTTGATACAAATATCTAATTGGCTGATCACATGGCAGCAACTCGGTGCATTTAAGCATGTCAACATGGCCAGCATGACGTGCTGAAGCTCAGACTGAGTCTCAGAGTGGGAAAGAAAGGTGATTTAAGCAACTTTGTGACCTGGTTGTTGGTGCCAGACAGCCTGGTCAGAGTATTTCAGACTCTGCTGGGATTTTCCCACATGATGTATGAATGAAGGAGAAGATCACACTGGGTGCCCCTCGTGTCAGCTAAGAGCAGGAAACCGATTCTATAGTTCAGCACAATTTGACAGTAAGAGACTGAAAATTTGCTTCTGGTCTGATAAGTCTCAATTTCTACTCTGACATTCAGATGATGGGGTCAGAATTTGGCCTAAGCAACATAAAAGCATGGATCCATCCTGCTTTGAATCGGCATTTCAGACTGGTGGTGTCAGAGAGGTTTTCTTAGGACTCTGCACACCAATTAGTATTAATTGAGCATCGTTTAAACACCACCGCTGACCACGGCCACAGTGGTACCATCTTCTGCTGATTCCTTGAACATGACAGTAAGTTGTCTGTACTCATTTGGCCTCCGAAATCACCAGATCTCAATCAAGTAGAGCACCTTCGGGATGTGATGGAACATGTTTTCCAACAAATTTCCAACAAATCTGCAGCAACTGTGTGTTACTCTTGTGTCATTATAGACCCAAATCTCTGAGAATGTTTCCAGTATGCCAGTTCTAAAGGGAAAAGTGGTTCCTGAAAGGCATAAATACTAATGTGGCTAGTGTATACATTTTAATATTTCAGCTGTGTTAATAAACTTCATCTGTATGTTTCTTTTTAAAGACAAAAATGACAATAAGTAGAGGATTTCACAGAGTTTGGACAAGAGATTCAGGGTAGCTGAGACTAGCAGCCAAAAACAGGTGAAATTCCTGTGCAGAAACTGAGCTGTAGACAATTTGACGGCACGACTGTCATAGTTTGACTATTTTTAGACACGTTTAAACCTGGAGACTGCTTTGGTGTGTGTGTGTGTGTGTGTGTGTGTGTGTGTGTGTGTGTGTGTGTGTGTG